CCTACCCAGCCATCCATCCATCCATCCATCGATCCATCCATCCATCCATCCTCCCCCTCAAATCCAGATTTCGTCTGAAACCTCAGTCCCTGTCATAGATCAGTGACATCCCTCTGTCTTCTGTCCTGTCAGCTGCTACATCTGTGGCTGAGCCTCAACAGAAGACCAGCAGCAGCCACAGCTCCGCCCACAGATGTTATCACTGTCACTGCACTTTCATTAAACCACCCAGATTATCTCTCAGTCTGACAGACAGACACTAAACAGTGATTCCCTCTCATCGCAACTCTTTATACAAGAGCCTCAAATCCAGATTTAGTCTGAAACCTCACAGTCCCTGTCATAGATCAGTGACATCCTGTTTATACAACTTTTATCTAACATTATAGAACTTTCTTCCAAATGTGGTCCTTTTTTTTTTTTTTTTGCAATACTCTAAATCTCCAAGTGTTTCACACGTTTTCTTAGACATATCTGTGACATTGAAATAGTTTTGGGGCCAGAATAATCACAGTCTCATGTTTTCTCTTTGTATCTGTAAAATCTGTATCGCTGAGAAAAAAGTCTGAAGTCCAGACCTCAAAACACGCAGTAAATGACTACATTAACTTTAAAGCCATGTTAGGATTGAGCCAAAGTGGTGGTTACGTGTTTGTTTTTGGTGAGAGCGGCAGCGAGCTGCGTTGGCTGTAATCCTTCCTGCCTGTGTGATTGACAGCCACAGGTTTAGTAGCAGCAGCAGCAGCAGGAGGAGGAGGAGGAGGAGGAGGAGCAGCATGTTCCACCTTCAAAATCTGGAGGAAAGCATCAACAGAAATCACCCCGACCGTGATCTGCAAGGTCACGAACAACATCACTGATTGATGGTAGCTATTCTATTCTATTCTATTGGTGTATGTACAATATCATAGTACGTACTGGATACTTGAGGTCCATATTGTACATGACTCAGCTCAGTACAGTACAAGGCAGAATGTGCAGTAGAATACCTTTGGTACTTTAACCCTGCCATAATCGGTGTTTGTACCATGTTATATTTGCATTCTTAACCATAGCTTTTCACTTTAATTTAAACCCGTTCTCATCACTTCTATATTTAGGCAGTGTCTGGTACATCTGTATATCTAAAGGCACAGTTATTGCTCATGCTGACAATCCAGCTGCCTTAATATTGAAAGTTTTTTTCAAAATAGTCTTGTTCCAATCCATCCCAATCCAACCAAACCAATCCCGCTCAACGCAATCCAATCAGACCCAACCCAACCTTCCCATCCAGTCCAACCCTGTCCAACCCAACATGTTCCAATCCGACCCAATCCAATCCACTGCACTCCATTCCAATCCAATCCAACTCAACCAAACCCATCCAATCCAACGCAACCTGTTTCAATCCAATCTAACTAAACCCAACATGTTCCAGTCCAATCCAACTCAACCCAACCCATCCAATCCAATCCTAACCAAACCAAACAAACCCAACATAATTTAATTCAATCTAACCCAGTCTGATCTAGAGTTAATTATTGTTTAGTGCTGGCATAATTCATATATTGTTATAGGTATAGTGTATGATAATAGTGCTACTGGTAGATGTAGTATAGAGTATAATATATTCAATTATGTCTATAAGTACATACAGTACATATAGTGGCGCTTTGACCCAGAGTTAATGACTCTGTCATTGGTGTGGAACTCCAGGGTTCACCTCCTGGGTAAGATCGGATCCCGGTTAGGGCAGTTGGTACCTTCCAGTGGACTCACCACCTGCAGGAAGGTTCAGGGGGGGTTGAGTGATTTGGGTGGTGGTCATGGAGACTGCTGCCCCCGTGACCCGTTAACGGATAAGCAGATGAAAATGGATGGATGGGAGTACATAGATATAATGTGTATACATTAGAATTTAGTGTATTGTTGTATCTTTCTCTCCTATTTGACACATTAAAAACACAAACATAGTTAAAATGTTTGTGTTTTTAAACACGTTTCAGAAACACCTCAACCCTGGTTGGTGTAGGAGCTCCCTCACCTCTGACCCCTCCACAACCTGTTTAGTAACTCAACGACCTGAAGGTGGCGGTGAGAGTGGTTTGCAGGTTTGCAGTCAGCTGTTAAAGTCTTTGTGTCTCCCAGAGAGGAGTTTCTGTCATTACAGCAGTGAAGGGTGAGTAAGAGCGGGGCCAATTGTCAGGCTTTGAAATCTGACTCTAACACAACCAGTGTGAAACCAGGACATCGAATGTTATAGGACAAAAATAATCAAAGGCCATGGATTAGGTTGGTTAGGTTGGCTTCTGTTCTGAACAAAATGCAAATGTTGTTGTGTGTATATGAAAATGACAAAAAGCTGATCTTCTAAATGTTTTTACTTCTTCTTTTAGCCAGCCCCTCGTGGCTGCCTTTATTCTAATATGTGGCTTTAAGTTTGTTATTTTACTTAAATTTTGTATTTATTTATTTTAACTAGATGTTACAAGTGCTGGATATGATGGAATGATGGATGGATGGATGTTTGGGTGGATGGATGGATGGATGGATGGATGGATAGATGGATGGATGGATGGATGGATGGGTGGATGGATGGATATATATATAGATGGATAGATGGATGGATGGATGGATGGATGGATAGATGGATGGATGGATGGATGGATATTCAATTATTGCTAATATTGTGTCGGACCGTTTATGATTTCATGAGCTAGGTTCTAGATTTGTGGGGTTTTTTTGCTTAACTTATGGCTAACTGGTTAGCATTCACAGCTAATGCTTAAGCTATCGATCCTTTTCTAGTATTTTCTATATTTGTCTTGTTTTTTATTTTGTTTGTAATCGCCAACATTTTCCACATCCAGAATCTAATATCTCTTTCAACTAATTTATTTATTTTAGCAACAATTTCATTAATTTTTAATTTGTTGGAATTTATAACATTTCGTAGTTAGCTATTAGCCTTTAAGTACATCTGTCTGTTTCATTCGGACGTGTAAAGTGAAAACAGTTGTGACAAAATGATGACAGAAAACAAAACAAACTTTGTTCGAAGAGGTCAGCACTCACAAACTTAGGCTGATGTGATGATTTGACCTCTGACTCCCGGTGCCCCATCTCTCCCTCTTCTCTCCCACACCACGCTCACCCTCTCATCTCATGCGGCCCACACCCCAGCCGTCAACCATTAGCTGTTTTTTCTTGGCCACCGGCCCAGCTCTAGCCTTCTTTCCTGACGTCTCAGCCGTTTTTACCAGCCCAGATTTATTGTGGCGTGTGCTTTTCGAGGCAGGCGATCATATGTATATGTGGTCAGTGTGCAGTCTGTGACCCAGCCTCTCGTCTCAGGTTACACCCTATTTATAACAATCCCCCTCTGCCGGCTCCCCTCGTTTCTGCACTTCCAAGGAACCTCCTTCCTCTGCTTGTAGCCCAGAGCTTGGTCCCCACCAGCTCCTCCTGACATCTGAGATCCTCTGCTGCCGCTGCTCCTGCTGCTGCAGCCTGATCCTGGACGGCCTGGCACGCTCCGGATTACCACAGGACACACCATCTGCAGACACACACACACACACACACACACATCTCTCGGAACAAACTTTCTTTTCCAGTCCGATTTGTAAAAGTTTTGTAAAACATCGTGGATATGCCCTTGTGATATTTTCGACATTGTTGTTTAGCAGCTTCTCACCATTTCTCTGGAGCGTGGCTGTTTTTGGGCTTTGCATGCTATGGATCACACACTCTTTGGATGCCTCAGGAGCCCCCACGCCCCGGCCCAAGCCCTGCATCCCGCCTTCACCCAGTCACCTCTGACCCTCCACGGACGCTCAGACCATGTCTCCTACCCGGACCTGGCCTCTTCCTCGTCGTCCTCCTCCACCTCCTCGCCGGCTCCCTGCATCATCTCCAGCTACCCGGCCGACGACGGCCTCTTCCCAGGTCACCATCCCCACCACCACCACCACCATCACCACCACCTGCACCGCAGCGGCGTAGGACACCTGAGTTCTGAACAACAGCAGCAACATCACCACCATCACCATCAACCGCCCCAGCACCACCATCAGTCCTGGCACATCTCCCAGATGCCGTCGCCAGGCAGCGGCGCCGCCGCCACGGGAGCGCGACACAACCTGTGCAACCCACACGACAGTGGGCCGACACCTCCAGACATGGGCCACGGTGGCGGGCCGAATGTGTGTGCCACCACCCCGAGTTTGGGAAATGTTGGGGGAGGCAGCAGCAGTGCCCCCACTGGGGCCTCTTGTGCGCCTGCAGACTTCGGGAGACAGACTTTATCGCCTTCGGAGGTTGACAAGAGGAGCGGGAAAAGGAAAAGTGACAGTTCAGGTAAGAGAGAGGAATATGAAAAAAAAAAACTGCATCTGCAGTTTTACTGCCGTATGTGTACTACTGTAATCCCTGTGAATACTTAGGGGTACAGAGGAAATATATGAAGTACTTTTACATTAAAATAAATATGGACTTTGAAGACTAGGACTAGGGATCGCATGTCCAAGTCACCTGCTGTTTTTCTGAATCGGTGTAAGCTACACATGTCCAAGTCACCTGCTGTTTTTCTGAACCAGTTCTCTGAAAAAAATGATGAACACAACTTTGAATGCGCTTAAAAAAATAAGTGGACATTTAAGTAAAAAAAAAAATCCTTGAAGAGATTTTTACCCCCTAATTTTCCAGGAAAAACAAATCGTCCTGAATGTACTCCAAGAATTTAATTCCAGGTTGAGTTTGCAGCAGAGATTGAAGGTCGGTGATAATAGAAAGATTTAGTGGTTCGTCAGATGCGTTTCCGCTCAGCATGTTCCCCCAAAATACAATCAGAACCTGGAACACTTTTAAAAAATGTAAAAAAAAAATAATTGAAGTTAAGGTGAAGTTATTGACAATCTATAATTATAATAATTTATAATTGAGTAAATCTCAAAACGTGGAAAAAGGGAGTCATTTTAAGACAAAGCTGGATTTAAAATGTTTTTTTAAAACATTTTGTGTTGAGACAATGTTGAAAAAAAAAATCGGACTGAATTTCACACTTCAGTGAAAAAGCAAGATAACTTAGGCGTAAACCAATGATCTAGATTCCTGTTAAGTGAGATAAACGTATATATTTAAGAGAAGATTATAGAGTCATGTTTAATAAAGCGTTAAAATCCTTTGGTTTTAGGCCAAAGTCGAAATCAGATTTGGAAAACATCAAAACAAAGGAAATCTCAGAAACAGTTCAGGAAGACTGAAGACGGAGTAAACGTTACTGTATAAATCAGTGATAGAGGAGAGGGAGGCTCAGACTTGAGTGTTCAGTTTCTAATGTTGACAATTAGTCTGAATTTACATGATCAATTTAATGATTTTGCCTTCAGATTTGACCTGTCAATAAATTAAAAAAAACAACAACTTTAGCATAGACTGTAGCCTTAATTCGACTTAAGTATTTGTTCCTGTAACAGCTGCAGACACATTATATGTCAGGAAATATCTAGAACAAGCCAGTTATATATCAACAAATATTACGAAAACCATTATTCCGCACGGCCGTGTTGTTTTTGCACAACTTTCAGCGAGAGGAAGCAGAAAATATGACTCAGAGCTGGAGAACAACTCAGACATCTGTAAGTGTCAGTCAGCATCCTTCAGCCAGGCAAAACATTTTCTACAGCTGCGAAACAGAAACAACAGCGGAGGAAAAACGTGCGTTCGGTCAGCGCGCGATGTACGTGAACGTTTAAAAGTAAACCGTGAAAAATAGGTGTCACGTGACGGGGACAAATATGACTCTCAGTTTTTTTTCTGTTAAAAAAAACAAACAACAAAACCCCCCCAATCTTCTACTTCTTCTGTGGTGAAGAAAATTGAAATAAAACAACAAGAAGAACAAAAATATTTACAGAGTCAAGTTTCAGTGTGACACCAAAAAAAAAAAAGAAAACAACCACAAAATAAATAAATAAATAAAATTGTATATTGAGTTATCAGTTGTCAGGCAGATTGGCAAATATTTATTTTTTAATTATTTATTAATTGTGATTATGTAATTAACCAATATTGCATAAATGATTTAAATTAGTTTCATATTATCGCAATTTTTTCTTTATAATGGCAAATTTGATTAAAACCGTGTTTAATATTATTGCAAAAACATTACTTTTTTTTATATTTTTATAACTGCCAAATAAAATTATATTTATTGCAAACCAATTACTTCCAATCAAGTCTAATAATTTTTAATTTTATAAAACAATTACATTATTTATATATATATATATAATATTATGTCAGGGTTTTGCACCTCATAATATTATATGACAATAATGCAAATTTTTGCCCATTTAAAAAAAAATAGAAACAATGGTTTTAATTCCTGTCACGCAGAATCGGTAAATAATATGTTGTGATGAAGCAAAACTCGTGGAACACTTTTGCAGCCGCGTAACAATATCCTAGGTTAAGACAGCGTTGTATTACGGTCTCAATTGAAATGCGAAAATACAGTGCGTGAAGCAAAACCATTAACACAGGTTCAAACCGTGTTGGATGAATAAACACGTTCAGTCTTCACCACATGTGACTTAATACACAACATATGGACACACTGTATGTAGAGTTTCCTGTGAAGAGATTAGCCAAACCTGACGGAACTTAACCTCGGGTGAAACCTAGCCTCTCTCTTTATAGCCACACTAAAAAAAAAAAAAAAAAAAAAACGCATTTTCTGCTACAATTAGCATACGATAAAAATGTAAAAATTTTAAATGTTTAAATATGAATTTGGTATTAGTTTTATATACAGTATTATATGTATATAATATATATATATATATCTATATATATATATATATTAATAACAATACCATAAATCCAACTTCTCTTTCTGTATCAATCACTGTTTTTCTGTCACAGGATAAAAAAACGAATTCTTACGAAATGCTAACTTTTGTTGACTGTCGCCCAACGGGTAACCACAACACTTCTTTTACAACATTAATCACTCACACCCTGACATACGGCCAGAGGCCAGGGGCCCAGTTGCGAGGCCAGGGTCGTCACAGGTTCGCACCAGCAGAAATGGGATATTACAGGCCACTTCTTAGTTTTCACAGGGGAAAGTGTGCACAGCGTTCCGTGTCTGGATTGTAAGGGCCATCGTTCCTGCAGCTAGGATGACTGATATACACACTATCCAGATATGATATACAACCTATGAACCTGTGAGGTTAGAGCAGGCGGACCACAATTGGTCCTAAAATTGAACAGACGGGCCGGGTCAGGAGCAGATCGATGGAGCGTTGGTGTGAACTAAGATAAATGACATGCATAAAGGCTAAAATGCTGAAATGCTTTTAGCATTTTCTACGCCATCTATTTGAGAAACTTGGGTACTACAGGGAAAAGGCAGAAGTATAATGATAATTAAATAAAAAAAATATAATTTGAAAAATTCTGGTGGGCCGGATTAAAAGGCAAACGGGCCGCATCCGGACCCCAGGCCTTAGTTTGCCCATGTCTGGGTTAAACTCAATAAATAGATGGATAGATGGACAAATCGGCGGACAGACGGACAGACAGATAGATGTTTTGAAGCTGTACTGTATATGTTTTCGGCGTATTGTTTATACAGTTAACATATGGAAATGCCATATATGCGTCGTATATGACTTTCCCATATGTGTGTGAATTGTTACAGCAGTTTATTTATATTCCTCAGATTGAACCACTTCCTGTTTTTTTTTTGTTTTTTTGTTTCTTCTTACTTAACTGCTCCGTCAAATCATTGGACAATTGGGACTCGGCGTTTAAAAACTTCCTGCTGCAACAATGGTGTCTGTGCTGCACACGTTTACGACACGCTAACACACACTCGCTCCAATCAGGCTGATTATCCAGGGTTAACCAGGCATCAGCTAAGTAAATATCACACCACCGACACCACCGTTCCTGCTGCTGCTGCTGCTGCTGCTGCTGCTGCTGCTCTCATATAGGATGCAGCCACTGATTAGGTTTCACCATCTGGACCTTGTTGAAAGTTTAGAAACTGAAATGCGAAAATCTTATTTCCATATGAGTTTCACCTCCATGGTTTTCCGTCATAGGACCAAATATTGTATGACAGATTATGTATTTCTGTCTGATCCTGCACTGTGATTGGTTTCTGGAGGAGGACCACAGTTTGGGTTGATGTGATGACATGACTCTTTGGTATTTTGGGGGGTGGGGGGTGGTGTAGTGTCGGAAGAACTTGGAAATAATTCATTGTAGGACCATTTTTTTTCATCAGTTATTTTTTACTTCTGTGGGTTTATATATATAATATATATACAAACACATACAGTATATGTATATATATATATTACATTATATATTACAATACGTTTAGCAGACGCTTTTATCCGGCGCGACTTACAATTTGAGTCAGTAAATCAACGATCAAGCTGCAATATATATACAAAATGCAAAAATACATTAATAATAATAAATAATAATAAATAAAAAGTACAGTTATAGTCCTAGTTAGTCATAGAGTAGGAAGAGGTGCACGTTAGATGTTAGTGGGTTTGTTAGTATAGGATATATATATATTTATATATATATAAAATATATTTATGTATATTATATATTTATATATATATTTATATATATTTATAACATTATAAAGACCAACAGAAGTGAAATAACTGATAAATATATATATATATATATATTTTTTTTTTTCCGTTTATTTGTTAGTTTCCATCCCATATTCTTGTCCATGTTGATAGTTCTAGAAACAGCGGATCAACACATATTTTTTGTGTTTTTTTTTCCATTGTTCTCCGTTTCTAGGTTCTTAAACATTCTGGGTGTGGGTGTTTGTCTTTTTCTCATATTCTTCCCTCTTTCTTGTGGTCCGATGAAGTTTAACTGCGTGGACCTAATTGCTGCGGCGGCAACGGCTGCTTTAGAAAAGCCCAAATTCTGCCTTTTAACTGCAGACACTGATGCGTTTGAGTGTCGTTCCTTTTGTTTTCTGTTTGTACAACATCAATCAGAGGCCCTGCATTTGGAAGGTGAAATTACAGGGAGACGACGACAGGCAAGGTCAAAGTGAAGGTGGGAGGAGCCGGACACAGGCTGTGGGTCACGTCAATGATGTGTTCCTTTTTTTTAAACACGTGATGTGGGATTTCTTACAGTTTATAAATCTGTGTTGTTTTTGTCCTTCAGTTTAACAGGGGAGTCATTTAACTGTGATAAAAAAAAAACAACAAAAAAACAGCGAGTGTAATTAAAGGTCCGGAATGTTGCAATTTGGAAGGATGGTTTTCTTGGAAGGAATTGAACACACTGACCATAAGTGTGTTTATAGAAAAGTGTATTCCACCAATGAATAACACGTGGCTCAGATCTGGACTAGAGTCATCTGATCTGCTGTATTCTCTGGGGGAAAAAAATTTAATGTAATGCAAAAATACAATTAATAAACAGTGTAGAAGTTAACTAAAATTCAACAGGGGGGCCGGGTCAGGAGCAGATAGATGGAGCGTTGGTGTGAACTAAGATAAATGACATGTGAAAGTCATGCATGAAGGCTAAGATGCTAAAATGCTATTATCATTTTCTACGCCATCTATTGGAGAAACGGGTATTGCAGGGAAAAGGCAGAAGTATAATGATAATATAAATAAATTATATAATTTTGAAAATTTGTAAATGTCGGACCGGATTAAAAAGCTAAACGGGCTGCATCTGGCCCCCGGGCCTTAGTTTGCCCATGCCTGGTTTTTGTGGCTATTCTATTTTTTTGGAGATGACTCTATTTTTGCCATTATAATCACTGAAGTTCTTCTCTGTTGTCTTACAAAATTACAAAATTTCTAAGATAAACGTTATTCATCCATCCATGCGCATTTTTGGATAGGGGACACAGAGAGCTATGTGTATATCGAGACGAATCACTTGGAGCAACCTGATTGGCCGGTGTTGAGCAACACACAATGAGCAATAGTCATTTGAACATTGCTCATTGATAAGTATCACTTCACTGGATTGGATTATTTCGACAGTCTGTGAAGAAGCTCGGGCTGTCACGTCACCTCAGTTAGTCATAGGTTCACCTACGATCCCCTCATACCTTTGATCAGAGGTGGAAGGTAATAAATTACATTTACTCAAGTTACTGTAATTGAGTAGTTTTAGTAAGTAATTTTAATGTTTTTAAGTCGTTTCGGAAATAGGTAATTTTCCTTTTACTTAACTACATTTTGACTATTTACTTTGGGTGTACGTGGATTTCAGACTATTTTAATGTAGCCAGATAACGTTGACTAAGAGACAGACTCTAGCCTGTCATTGGATGATGGCTGGTGTTGAACAACAAATGGAGGTTGAGGATTGTCAAGCAGAGAGCTCCTGTGGAGCAGAGGACGAGGCAATAACTGTATCATGTGATGTAAAATGTTCCTGCCCCCGGTGGACAGAACTGTCACTGTCAGAACTTCAGTGTTCTTCAGTGGATTGAATTTGAATCATAAAATCTCAACTTCTGCCACTTGGATTTGAATTGTTGATTAAAAACAACTAGTTGCTGATTGGATGGAGGACTAGTCCTTTTTTGATTTCACTTGAGTAGAATTTAGACAAAGCAAAGATACTTTTACTTAATGGATTCATCCATTCCTGGACCCTGGATGATTGCTGATTTAAACCTTTTCAACAGCATTTTGTGTAAAGGTTCATGCACGAAACCAATGAAAATAATTACAAATGTACTTGCCCCTGGTGGACAGAACTGTCATTGTCAGAACTTCAGTGTTCTTCAGTGGTTTGAATTTAAAATTCTCCACTTCTGCCACTTGGATTTGAATTGTTGATTAAAAACAACTAGTTGCTGATTGGATGGGGGACTAGTCCTTTTTTGATTTCACTTGAGTAGAATTTGGACAAAGCAAAGATACTTTTACTTAATGGATTCATCCATTCCTGGACCCTGGATGATTGCTGATTTAAACCTTTTCAACAGCATTTTGTGTAAAGGTTCATGCACGAAACCAATGAAAATAATTAGATCTAAAAAAATAGATCAACACAACTGAACAAAGAATAAAGCTATAAATAGGAAAGGCAGTTTCATTCCTCCTTACCGGTGCTGAGGAGTCCTGATTATGCAATGTTCGCTTCGCTGTCGCCGACCAACTACTATTTGTTGATCCAAATCAGTAGCAACTTTTCCACTTCTTCTAATGTCTGAGATCTGGTCTTGGTGATCTCAGTCACTCCTTTGACAACATTAGCTTCTTCTATTGCTTCCTTGTTCTTAATGATGGTACAAATCGATGACTTCGCTGAGCCATACTGTAAAGCCAGATCTGAAACGCGAACGCCGTTCTCATGCTTTCGTATAATCTTTCTTTACTTTATTGTTATTCTTATGATTTTTCTTAATACTTTAGTCAATACTTTACTTTTCTTAATAAAAAAACAAATACAAGAAATAACACAACGCTAGTTTTTAGCGTGTGTAGCCTGAGTATGACTGACGCCACACACTCAGTCACTTAGAGATCACTGCTCAGTTGTTCAGCAACTGAGTTACGGTACGACAACGGGGGCAATTTTTGGTTTAAAAGTTTTGTTCATGAACCGAATTGTTCATAAACGAAGCCTTTCGACAACCGAGGTTTTACTGTCAATTGAGCAGTCGATTTTCTCTTTCTTCTTCTATGGGCTCTACTAGGGATGATTTGATCATGTAATCTTTCTTTACTTTATTGTTATATGGGCTCTACTAGGGATGATTTGATCTGATACTCTGGATCGGAATCGGTCCGATATTGGTCAGAAGTTCAGGATCAAACAACGAAAAAAAAACCCATCTATAGCCTGTCTGATCCCATTCTTTAGTGCAAATGGTCAGCTTAACCCTCCTGTTGTCTTTCGCATTTTGTACACAACCAGCGTCCTCGCCATGGGTTTGTATCTCGACCCATAATCAGTGTATGAGGAAAAGTTGGCACAAGTCTAGGTGACCCGCGGGGACACCCTATCACCTCAGTAACGCTGGAGGAGGAGAACAGAAGGTATCAGACTGACATTAGTATCGTAAGAGGCCCCAAGATGCAGTATCAGTAGTACTGCTTGTGTTACAGTTAATTTGATGCAGTAAAAGTTACAGTGAGTGCAGTAAAGTGTTTTCTTCAGAATTAGTAGCTCAAACAAAAAACGAACTCTGTTTGTAACTGTAGACCACAGAACACCCTGTGCCGGGGGTTAGGGTTTACAGTTTATGCTGCGACGTGGCTTTACACTGGCCCGGCTGTTAGCTACAGCAATGGTTTACAGTTTGGCTTCGCGCACGTTTACAGGATTAACACACTCGCACAGAGTCACATGCAGCTAAAGCAGCGGAACGGATTGAATTTTGCATGCAGTCAGCAGTGCCGCCGAAACCCCCCCGCAGTCACAACAGACACACGTTAACAAAATGACCGAACCGCGTGTGTCTGCGTAAATTCTAGACAATTTGTATAATTCATAAGAAACACAAGAAGACACTAACCATGAGCGAAAGAGTATAAAACGAATTCATCTGTGGATAATTTACATCATTATTGGCTTTATTTGAACTTTTTTGTTTACATTACTTTGACCATTTTTTTGTAGAACTTTACACCTTTAGCTAACGTGTAGCAAAACGGTTTTATTTGTTTTGATAAACTGGATGTTTGCTCGATTCAAAGTAACTTTTTTCCTCAAACTTTTCATATTTTTATCTGATGTTGAGCTAAATATGCTAAATACTTTTTGTTCTAAATTGTTCTTTTTAAGTTCTAAATCTGCTTTTTCAGCTAAATGTTTAGCATTCTTAGCGACATCGTTGAACTTGGGATATCTATCTATCTCTCCCAGATTAGCAATTTTTACTTCTGGCTTTTTAACAAATACTATTAGTACTTGTTAAGTGAATCTGTAGTACTACAAACCTTTGACTAGCATGTTAAAGATTGAGTAGTTTGTGTTGTGGAAGTTTTAAGTCGGAATTCACTTCTCCCCTTCATGGTGTTGTGCTAAACACTTTGGTGTGAGGAGTGTTTTTTGTTTCTGCAGAAACCCTAACGCTGTGACAGGATTTTTTTTTTTTTTTTTTTGACCAGTTTGGTTTTTTTTTAAAAGTTGCAGCTGGGTTTTTTTTTACAACCTAGACCAATTAAATTCATGCAGTGTGTGTAAAAATCCAGCTGCCACAGCCACACACACACACACACAGATACACACACGTGTGCAGTCGCCCTTCACTTTTTCCAGCTACTTGAAGTCTCCATAAACAATGAGTGAAGAGTAAAGTGTTCCCAGTTGTTCTTTTGCACCTGAGTTCTCTCCCTGCTAACTCACCTGTATGAGTAAAATACAGTATTTAATGTATTTAATCATATCATATAATTGATGGTGAAATGTATTTGACTAATTATTAGCCTTGCACTATAAACCTATCGTTAGGTTGTCTCAAAATATTAAAAAATAAATGTGGAAATTTTGAGACTATCACATTTTAAAGTAATAAATACTAATCACAATGTCAGGTCAAAATCAAAAAATTGAATAAATATTTGCCTAGTACTAGAAGAGTACTAGAAAGGAATTAAATATGATTTTTTTTTCTGATTTAATTTTTAAGAATTCGGAATTTCAGAATTCAGATTTTAAACTGAAATGACTAAATCAGAAACCTTTATAATCCCTAAAACTCTCAGATTAACCCCAATCTTGTGTGTGCTGTCTGCTCACAGAATCGCAGGATGGGAATTATAAGACAGACGTGGGCAGCAAACCCAGAAAAGAGAGGACGGCCTTCACCAAGGAACAGATCCGGGAGCTCGAGGCTGAGTTCGCACACCACAACTACCTGACCCGACTACGGCGCTATGAGATCGCTGTCAATCTGGACCTGACAGAAAGACAAGTATGTCCTGTTGCTTCATGTCGACATCATTTTAGCATCTAAACCAGGGGTGTCAAAGTCGTCCTGGTTCAGACTGATTAGTCAAGTGGGCCGGACCAGTACAGTCATAGCATAGAGACCTATAAATAACATTAAGTCCATGTTTTTCTTCTTTGTTTTCATGTAAATAACTACGAGTGTATTAGCAAATATTCATATTTAATGAAACATAGGTTGACAAAACATCACCAACATGAAGAGTTTGTGCATTTTTTCACTTTCAAAATTTATCAAGCGGCCCGGATTGAACCCCCCCAATGGCCCAGTTCTGGCCCATGGGCCATATGTTTGACAGCCCTCTTTTTAAGCTTGTTATTAACATCATCCCTTTGCTGCCCTGCACCAGTTGACGAACCACTGACATTTCAGTATTTAAATTCTTGACATTGTATAAGAGAATGACCTGTTTTTGGCAACTTTTTTCACAATGGAATTTAATTGAGTTTGTTCTTGCAATTTCAAAACATTAATTCCAAAGTATTTTAAATCGTGTTGGACAAGAACTTAAAACTTAAACTTTTCTGAACCAAATTCTGAAGAATCTTCTAAACATTCGATTTGTCACTTTGTTTCATTTAAGTTTATAATTTGTTGAGAATTTGTTCA